ATTATTGGATCTTTTGCTAAATTACTATTTTTGGTAAACTTTTATTATTTCCAATAATGCTGGTTTGTTAAATGAAAAACTGTACAAGTATACACAGACAGAAGCATAACTATTCAGTGCCTGGCATAAAGTAAGTTCCTCTTGAAGTCATTCTGTCCTAAAAACACAGCTGTTAAGGGATTAGCAAATAACTGAGATCCAGTAGATTCTTGTTATTGACACAAGCTAACCCTCTGAATTCCTAACCTGTCCCACAGCCCCCAGCTCTTCCAGCTCTGAGGATGGGAGAATTAGACCATCAGTTCTTTAGTCTTTCAAGAGAGCTCCCTAGACAAAGAAGGGGCAGCAATCATGAACCTGCTTGAGGTTCCTCGAACGCAATGTTCTCGACCTGATTTCTTTTTTTTAGGAAGAACAGAGGAATAAGGAGCCATGGTCAAACTTTTAATTATTAAACTATGTTCTAACATGCGCTGCCCTTTGTCTTTCTGGGCACATCATTATATCTTTGAACTTGTAAAAGTCATCAACTTTGTCATTCTACCCGGATCTGTTTTCTCTTGGCTAATCCTATACAAAAAGTTAAGTGTCTTCTCTTTTACCAAACCAAAGAACATCAATTCCAAATTATTCCAGCATTGATGTAGCTACTGTATCAGCCTAAATTTAATTTAGATTTGGATTATCAAAAAAAAGACTACTATCTGCGCTCAAACTGCCAACTGCAGTACTGCCAAGAAAGTTTGACAGATGAATAACATTCAACATCAGCATGTTAACAGTTGCAGGGGGAAGAAAAAAGGTTTTGAGCTTCTAAGCTGAAAGACCAAACAGTATGAATGACGATCACTAGTTTAGTCTCAAATAGGCCGTGTAGATACCAAGGGAACAGCCATTCTAGAGACAATGTTGCTCACCAAGTAAGTGCTGTCATCACATGCACTTAGCAAAGGATATTTAAGCTTCAAACTACTTAGAGATTTTTCCCAATATAATTCTAAGCACTCAGTTTAAAATGTTCACATGGAAATTAGATGACATGAGTACCTACAATAAATAAATAAATGTCAAGACAAACCCACAAGAGGAATTAACAGGCAGACCACAAAACAATCATACTTACATTAAGTAGTAGGACACAAAATCAAGCATTTTGGCAAGGCTACTGGAAACTATAAGTACTTCATTATACATGAAAAAGAATCAAATAGAAATTCCAGAACTAAAAATTACAATAAAATTCAGAACAGGAGCGAGGGGCTATATCTGTCTGGTAGAGTGATTAGCTAGCCTACACAGGCCTTAGGTTTGATCCCCAGCATGGAAAAAAAAATAGGAATGCAGTGGATGAATTTATCAGCTGATAAGACACAGCAGAGAAGAGTAAGTAAACTGAATAATACACTAAAAGTAAATTGCCAAAATGAAAACAGAAAAGAATAAAAGATAAAAAATACAGGTAAAAAGATAAAAGATATACAGTGTATAATTGCAAAATAGGTGCAAAATAGTGTTTTAATTATTAAAAATTTATTGCAGTAAAAGACACATTAACTCCCCCTCAAAATATTTCTCCCTTGCTTCCAGCACACTTACCCCATCATAATTTTTTTTTTTTTTTTTTTTTTGAGATAGGGTTTCACTATGCAGTTCAGGCTGGCTTTGAATTCACTTTGTAGCTCGGGCTGGCCTCAAATTCACAGTGATCCTCCTGCCTCAGCATCAGAGTGCTGGGATTACAGACCCTGCACCATCACAGCTGGCCTATCCCATCACTGTTGCCACTCTCTGAAGCAGATCTGGAAGTCCTCTTTCCTGAGTGTCTTAGTTGGACTGTTAAGGCTGCCTTGATGTGCTGAATGGGTTCAAAACATTCACCTTTTATGGTTATGTTTAGTTTAAGAAAGAACCATAAATTGTGTGGTGCCAGATCCGATGAATAAAGGGAATGAAGACACACTATAATATTTTTATTTGACAGAAATTACCAGAAATGTTTGATCAGTGAAGGGCAGTCCAAAAATATATTGATTTTAAAGATATTCACATATATGGTGTTTACAAAGGCCATGCTTAAAACCTAAGTGTAGGGGCTGGGTTTGTAGTTCAGTGGTACATCTCATGCATAACATGAACAAAGTCCTTGGTTCAAAATCCAGCACCGGGGCTGGGGATTTAGCTCAGCAGCACAGCGCCTGCCTGGCAAGCGCAAGGTTATGAGTTTGATTCCCGGTCCTGGAAAAAAAAAAAAGGAAAAAAGAAAAACCAAAATCCAGCACCAAAAAATAAAGAACTAAAACCTAAGTATACAAGATAATCGAAATCAAAAGGTTGGAAAATGTATAATATGTAAATGGTAACCAAATATAAAAACTAATATTAATATCAAACAACTAAACTTTAAGGTCAATTTATTTCTGGGGATAAGGAAAATGCTTCTTTTTTTTCAACAGTAGTGTATAGCATGTTCATGGATTAAAAGTTTATTTATTGGGCCGAGTGTGGTGACACACACCTGTAATTCTAGCCCTCGGAGGCTGAGGCAGGAGGATCATTGTGAGTTCAAGGCCAGCCTGGGCTACAAAGTGAGTTCAAAACCAGTCTGAACTGCATAGTGTGACCCTGTCTCAAAAAAAATGAAAAAATAAGTTTATTTATTTTATTCTTTCCAGGTAGAGAGATAACTTCAGAGCAATCAGAGTAAAAAAAGTCCAAAAAGTATGTTTGCTTCTTGGTTTTATTATTTTTCCCCATGGAATTGAGCTGATTTTAAAATTTAGATTGAAATGCAAATCTCTGAGACTAGTGATGAAAGTTTTGAAGAAGAACAAAGTGGGCAACTTGACCAATGTATCAAAGGCTATTCTAAACCTAAGGTAACTTGCATTGTTTTGGAATTAATGTTGGTACAGGCAAGTGCAGACTAGCTGAAATGAAATAGATTAGAAACTTGGACAGTGATCTATGACAAAGTAGTTGGGGAAAAACACTACAGCAAAGACAGTTGTGGGAAATAGGAGGCCTTTTCATTTAGTACTGGGAATATTTGGTATTCATCTGTAAGAGAAATCAGTTTCTGGCATATGTATCATAGCAGGCACGGAAACTAACCCTGTGTTGATGGTAGTCCTAGAAATGAAAGGTAAATTTAAAATCTTTTAGAAGACACCATGGAAGAATATCTTCATGATCTCACGATTATAGAAAAAATTATAAAACATGATGTAAAATTCTAACCACAGAGGAAAAAAAATCAATAAACTTGAATATTTAAAAAGTAAGAATATCTTTCATCAAAATATACCACTAAGAAAGCAAAAAAGCAAATCACAGCATTTAAGAAGTTGTTTGCAGCATATATAAATAATAAAGCTCATATTCAATGAGAACAGAAAAAAGCACATCCCCCCCCCAAATTATCAATGTCTTCAAAAGAAGAAAAGCAATTTGCAGCAAGGGTGAAGAACTCAACTTAAATTGATCCTCAAAGAACCACAATTTAAAAGGTCAGTGAGATACAGTTCACACTTATCAACCTGGTAAAAACTAAAAATTCCAGTACACAGGTTGGTAAGGATGTGACAAAAAATAAACTGCTGTACACGGTGTCAAGTAAAATTTAGTACACAACTTTGGATGTAATTTTGGCTCACATAGGAAGGTTAAAATATGCATAAATATTTAGCCTATAAATCCCTGAAATACTCTAAGTGTGTTACATTGTATATACAAGAGTATTCATAAAAGCAGAATTATTTGCATTATTTAAAAAATTGGAGGCACTCAAGTACCCACCAAAAGTAGAATAGAAGAGAAAATTATGATAATGGAAGTAAATCAACTAGCACACATGCAATGGTACAGTTGGGTCTGAAAAAGCATAATATTAAGAAAAAGAAGCACGTTCTCAAAAAATCACTATGAATTCATTTATATCAAAGTTCAAAAAAGACAAAACTGTTTTAGAAACACATGCATGGTGGCACAGTCATAAATGAAAGCAAGGAAGTGATAAAGTTGGGATGTTGGTTATTTCTATAAAGGACTGATGGGCAAAGGACTGGATTCTAGCACTGTTCTTTCTGGACCTGAGTGACAGGTGTTTGTTTTGCAGGAAGTTATAATAATAATACTCTACATTTGTCCTCTGTGTATTTTTGTAATAGTCCATAACTTTAAACAACTTTTTAAAAGACGTAATTTTCTATATAAAGATAGTAAAGAACTCTTGAACTGTATGTTGCAAATGGGAAAAAAAATAGGATGTGGAAAGGGCTGTAAAACTCACTATAATTTATTTTAAAAGAAAAGAAGAAAAGGAGGGAGAACACAAGCATGTGAGAGAGAAAGAGAGGAGGGAGGAAGGGAAATTAAGGAAGGACAAGGCAGAGACAAGGAGAAGGAGGGATATAGTAAATGTGTAGAAGAATAAGGTAAACTGCCCACCCAAACCCGAGGTTTATCTATGAGCAGACAAAATAGATTGCCAGAGAGACAGGATTAAGAGAAGAATTACTATTCACCACACATCCTTTTTTGTCTTGAATTTCATACTATGTGAATATATTACCTATTCAAAATAAGTACATAAAAATACCTAAGTTTTCTAGCAACTCTAACCATGCTTGTCCACAAGAGGTCACTACTGGATGTTGTTTAATTCTAGTTCCTAGCCAGTGTAAAGTCATGCTGAATCCTTTCACCAGAAAATGAAAAGGCGCATTTATTTATGTTCTTTTATACCACATAATGTTCCAGGAAAAATTGCCACTTGCAAGTATGCACAAGAAAAAAATAATACACATTTTAAATAAAAAGAAAAAAAAAAGAGAATAGATAATATAAAGCTAGAAATTAGTTTATAGAATCATGTTACTAACCATTTCCCCTAGCGGTAATGTACAAGCTAGATTTTAAATTTTCTATTAACCAATACTTTAAAAAGGGGAAGTACCTTACTCAGGAAAATGTAAAAACGAGAAGAAAAACCACTAAGACTGCTTAGTATCTTCCTTTGGCTGTACTTTTCAAAATTTTGTTATTGCAGTGAATTCTCTTTTTAAAAAAAAAGCTGAATTGATTGTACTTTGGACTAGTGATGAGTAAAATATTACCAAGGGAAGTTAGCCCTGGCCAAACACTGAGGCTGTCTCACAAAGCCTTTGGGTAGTATATAGCCGGGAAGAAATCAGTGCAGAGGAGCGAGTGAGCCCTTCGTGACAGAAGCACCGACTGCAGAAAGCACTCTGCAGCTATGGACTCAGCTGACAATCACAGGACAAAAGTAGCGGTCATTGGCGGTGGCTTGGTAAGAATATCTGGATGTATAATTAGGGCTGATGGGATTATATTGATTCCTAGTGTGCTTGATTACTATTATTTGTCAGTTGTACAACTTGCTAGATCTTGTGAAGATTTTTCCAATGATCAGATACAACTATTTTAAATAATACTATTTTAAATTAGTTTTAATTTGTTCTTTGCCAAGAAAGATTTTTTAATGTAAATTAAATACAAAGATGTCTGTTTTCCTTCATCTTTTTGGTTTAGTATTTCTTAAAAACTCAAAATAAAATAACCTCAACTTTATTTTGTCTTCAAATCAGCTATGTTTTTAAAATTAGATATTAGTCTTTAAGTCATTTTAATCAGAACATTGGTCTCACTTTAGTTAATAGGTCAGCTTAATACCGTCCAATGAGAATAAAATGGTCACGATAAAAGATGATCTGACCAAAAAGGGTCCCAAAACGTGAAGCTAAAGTAAAAAGTCGGGCTGGGGATTTAGCTCAGTGGCAAAGCGCCTGACTGGCAAGCGCAAGGTCGTGAGTTCGGTTCCCAGTACTGGAGAAAAACCAAAAAAAAAAAAAAAAAAGTCATGTCGGATGTTCGGTAGTTATTTGCGTAGCTGGGAATAATAGTTACTTGGTTGCCTGCATTGTTTTACTGTTCTAATGCTGTATCCGGGACGGTGGAGCAAGACCCTCACTTCCTACCTGAGCAGATAAAAGTGCTGGGATTTGCCCCACACCCAAGGTGCCACTTCTTTCCGTAATTAGGACCCCAAAGCTAGTTCTCTACTGAGCATGGTACTGCCTCCAGTAAACTATGCTTCTCCTCCTCTCAGCAGAACTCCTTTTTTTTAGGATAAACATAGTTAATCTAATCACTTGTTTTTAGGCTTTGGTTAAATCATTTGCAGGGTTTTAACTCACAGGTATTCATTTGTTTACTGATTTACTTCTTCAATAAAATTGAATTAGAACCTAATGCTAGTCTGTGGAAGACATCTATATTGCCATGCAAGTATTTCTGAATTATTTAATATTACATAGAGTTAATATATAATATGCTGGTTATCTTTTGTACTGTCTTCTGTTTTGTCTTCTCCCCAAAGTGCTAGGACAGTTTCTTTAAGATATCTGATTATAAATTTCAAAATGCTAAGGCGTGTTGTCAAATGCTATGCTGGTCACCCGATATGATGTATGTTGTCATTGCTTCATACCAGGCTTCCATCCAATTCCTCCCTAGCAAAATATTGCTTAAAGGAGAATTCATGCATTCAGGAAAGGTGGCAGCAATATCTCATAAAATATCCTAGAAATCCAAGGCAGAGATAACAAAAATGTGACTGATTTGGGAAGATAGGCAAAATGTAAAATTACCCGGGGATTTCTCCCTAAGAAACACCTGAATTCTTCATCACAGAATCACTTAATGCCCGTGCCTTCAAAATAGCACAGCTCTGATTCTGAGAGTTTGTGCCTCACAACTCCAAATGATGTTGATTGAGTCATGGATTTATGGGCTCTTGATGGCACTGATGCCAATGTGGTGCCGGGTGGTGTTTCTGTCCTGTCTGCTGAGGATCGTCCCACCTCACCGCTCGCTCTTCCCATCACTTAGAGAGCAGCATTGGACAGCATGGAGGCGGGTGGAGGAAAGTCCACAGAAGGCCGGAAGCTCAGAAACGTTACTCTCTGTGGGTCTCAATTTTTACCTCTTGTTCTAAAACTAGATCCCTGAGTCCTGTAATTGTACAATTCTGCTTTCTTTTTGCACTTTCTCATTCACAGGCCTCTAGCTTTGTTCTCAACCTAGACCTTTCTAAAAACAGAAATCAAATTTTCACTTCCTCCAAAGTAAATATCCTCCACCCATATAAAGCAGCAAATATCTTAGAATCTTGGGTTGAGGTCTCTGTAGCATGTCATTTGGTTCCAGTATTTTTTTTTTTTTTTTCGGCAAATGTTTATGAGATTCACCCTAGAAAGGACATAATTACTGCTGGCCTTTCTTATTATTTCATTTTATTAGTATTAAATCTTTACTCTTGTTTTCTTTTCTTTAGGCTCTGAACCTTCTTCCATGTGAAAAGCCCTCATTAACTCCCTTTGTCTAAAACCTTCTAAAAATGGAGGGAGAATGGACTTTTGTGTGGCCATGGAAGTCATTCTGCCTTTGCTCAATGTCAAGGGACCAGTTTGATCTCACTCTGTTACTCTTCCTCAATTTCTTTTGTACTTTTGCTTGCGCTCCAATTTCTCTCATCAGACTTTCTTTTAGCCTTGGGCTTTATGTGTCTATATTTCTCTAGCATCCTTGTCTAATATTCCAACATATTTTTGCTAACCTGGTAGCAATCCCTGAAGTACCTCAGAAATCTCACTCTCATCTATATTCAGAGAACTCACTTCTCAGAGTTTTCTTCATTTGCTGCCTGGTTGAGAAGTATCTGGGATGGAACCAACAACTTCAGGCAGTCCAAAGCATGCTAACTGCCTGCAGAAAGTATGTTTTTCCTTCATTTTTATTTGGCCCATTCTCCCTTAAAACACTGTCAGATGATTTGCCCTTCTGCCCATATTCACCCACTCATCCTTCCATTCCTCTGTTCACTCTAAGAGAGCACTCACGCTCTACTGTTTATGGCAATCTAAGTTGGTGGAAGTCAACCTGAGAATGTGTACCACATGATTGTATATAATGCTAAAAATGACTTGAATATACAAACATAAGTACATTGCATGCAATTAAATATAATGCAATTATTATTTTTAAGATACTTTCTGAGAGAAATATATTCTTAGTACACTTCATTTTTTAAAGAATTCATGAAAGTAAATTTACAGTATATGATAATAATGAATATACTCAGGAAATATGAAGTAATTTAGGTATTCTTATTACAGATAGTTTATGAGACTAGCAAAAAAAAATGAGCTGGAGAAAGAGGTTAGGGTGGCATGCAGGAACTTATTCTGTCATGGTGAAAATTTGGGACTTTGTCCTGAAGACTTAAGAAGAATCAATGAAATACATTAAGATGAAAATGTACCATCTAAATTCTGTTCTAAAGATGATCAGCGCAAGTGCAGAGTGTAGTTTGAACAGACAGAGGCTGAGGAAAGAGAGGAAACTGCCGCAGTGGAGCCCATGAAAGGCATAGGGGCCATGAGCCAGTAGCTGGCTGGGAAAGAAGAGATCTGTTCTGAAAAAGATGCAGGAGAAATAATAGGCTTTGTTGCCTAATTAAGTATAAATTCTGGGTGGAAAAGACTGTTTCTTTTTATCCAAGCTATTTTAGTGGGTGAATCCAAGATGTGAAATTCAGAAAGAGGAGAAGGTTTGTGGAAAAAGAATAAAAGAGAAGGAAAAGAAGAGGGTAGAGGATGGCATATACTGAGATGGAGATGACTGTAAGGCAAGCAGGAAGACAGGTTCCATAGACAGAGGTGGCGATTAGGAGAAAGATTTAGGCTAGGAAAAAGTTATAAACAAGTTTTACTAAGAGCCCTCACTGAAAGTATGCAGGCAATTCACCTTAGCATTTAGGAATGATGAAGATCACTGCTTCTCAAGTGCAGATATTACCAACCAGAGAGTTCAGGGTAAGGTTTAAATAACAAAATAGTATATGGTCCAACATATGCAATTCTAAGGGATGTAGTAGTTGCTAACAAAGTAGGAAGACATTTTTATGTGATTATTACATTATACATAGAGTTAATTTGATTCTTATTATTATATTAATTATGTCCAAAGATCAAATTCTTGATAGGCTACATTATAGTTCCATGGCTAAATATTTGTTTTAGAGATATAAGTAAGCTTTTTAAAAGTCTTGATAACAAATTCAGAAAAATTCTTGTGATTCTGAGGGAAAAGTTGATGTTTCAGAGACAAAAGTACTTAGCATGTGTTTAACATTACATTATCAGATTAGCTTAAACTATAACATCTACATCAGACACACAAGCTTAAACATTACATGGTTTTTCTTATGAACCAAAACTATAAATAAAAATCAAAATAAAAGATAGATAATAGGAAGTAGAGAGATCTTTTTTCAGATAGGAAGGGGACCAAGAGGTGGAGGGAACAGGGAGAGAGGGAAAAAGAGAGGAGGAAAAAGAATTAAGATGTATGCCGTACATGTTCCAACTCTCCACAGTAAATGTACCGCAAACATGTACTAATAAAATATATGAAAAAACAAACAAAAATAAAACATTAAATAAAGAGGAAAAAGTACATGGATATTTGTAATCATGATCCTCCCTCCTAGAAGGATCAGCATTTATAAATTAAAGGTATAATGTACTGGTTCATTTTCTATCACTCTAACAAATATCTGAGACGCATCAGCTTATAGAGAGAGACTTATTTTGGCTTGCAGTTTTGGAGGTTCCCGTTTAGACGAGTGGCTCTGTTACTTTTAGGCCTGTGCTAGGGCAGCACATTACGGTAAGAATGCATGGCAAAGTAAAACCACTCACCTCATGGTAACTTGGAAGCAAAAAGAGGAAAAGGAAGTGGCTAGGGTCCCACAGTCCCCTTTGAGGGCACGTTCCCAGTGACCTAAAGATCTGCCACTAGGCCTCACCTCTGAAATATCCATCACCTTCCAATAAGTTCATGCTAGTGATAGAGAATTTACCACACAGGCCCTTGGAAGGCATTCCAGATCCAAACTCTAGCATGCAGATTTCTCATGATCATTGGATAGCTGAGTAATCACTGCTGGAGTTGTAACACAGGAGCCAACAAAAAACCACCGGCTAAACACGTGAGAAACATGCCTCTACATTTACATAAAATACATGTTTAAATGATGTTTTAATTGGTGAGGATTAGTATAAGACTAAGATGGGGGTCAAAGCACAAGACCTGTAAAGAAGGAAGTATGAAGAGAAGAAAGACAAGAAATGGGAAATGATAAATTGGTGAAGTTTATAATTGTGCAACATGGAAACTTCTTGGAGCTCATCTGACACACAGTCATGCTAATTCAATTGTTAGGAGAACTTTTAATTTGCAAATTATTTTGTGATCAGAGTAGTTTAAGGCTTGGTACCTTATTTGGTATTTTAAACACATACCTAAACTTTTCATAACTGTACATATTTTGGGTGGAAATTGTCTTCATGAAATCTGGCTGATAAGTGTCAAATCTTGGAAATCTTGGGCTGGAGATTTAGCTCAGCGGCAAAAGCGCCTGCCTGGCAAGCGCAAGGTCGTGAGTTCGGTTCCCAGTACCGGAGAAAAAGCAAAAAAAAAAAAAAAAAATCTTGGAAATCTTCTCACAGGTGTCAGATCTTGCCCAATTTCTCCCCTCCTCCCCACCTGCTTCCCCATTTACAGGCAGGAACCAGCTGTGCCTTAACCAAGTCTGTGGTGGGGTTAGAATTGTTGCACACCATGTTTCCTCTTACCTCCTTTTGCTTATACTGGGACTTGGTGCTTTTCACTTGTGATGTTGCTGGTATAATCATATTATTGCATTTTATTATATGAAGTTGCCCAGCTTATTTATTTTTCCTTAGTAATGGCCATCTGAGTCATATGCAGAATATTTTCTGGCTTACCTAGTTGTGAAAGGGGCCTCTCTGAACATTCTTGCACATGCTCCCTGGGGCCCGCAGAATAATCTCTTGTTTAGATGCATAAAGAATTTCTGGCTTGTGGGATATGAACATATTTAAGTTGACAAGATAAATAATACAGAAGAGATCCCATTGGTCCTTATCCTTTCTAGCACTTAATATTTTCATGAACTAATAGACTAATGCATTTAATCCTATTGTGTGTACACTATCTGAGCTTCCTTCTTTTCCTACTTTGCTATGAGAAACCACAAAAGCACCTCAACTGCAAACATGTGAGAAGTGTTGGAGAGGATCGGATCGTACCTGCCAAGCCTAGAAGAGACTCCAAAGGGCCAATCAGTGTGTCACAGAGTGCTCTTCAGTAATCAGGAGCATAGGGACACAGACTGGTCGGTAGGGAAAAGATAGGACAAAGGCCTCATTGAGCTTTGTTAAGATTAATAAGGAAACTTACGAAAAGCAGTTTCTTCACAGGTAGCCTCTGCGGTTAGGATAATTAGAAAGACAAAGGAGGGAAGAGCTAGCTAGATTTGAGAGAGGCGCCAGGCCACACAATTTGGAGGAAAGCCAGCTCCCCTCACCCACCTGACAAAATGCAAGGGCATAAGAGACAGCCTCCTAACGACTCTTATTTAGTAGATAAGACACACAGGCACACATGCACACAAACACCTGCGCATACATACACGTATGTAGGTTCTTACTTTAACATCAATATAATATTACGCCAGATACACACAACTAGATGTTCCCTTTGCTTAATCATTAAGTAAGCTGCCTTCCTAATAGGCCCTCCCCCTTCGCTTTACAAAAGGACAAAAAAATGGCCAAAAGAAATATAGGACAGATCAGTTATCAGCTAGCACCTGGGGAACGGGAAAGACATGAGTCCCCAGTAAAAGGAGCCAAGAACAAGCTCCTGGGCGTTCAGCTCTAACGTCGCCTACCACTTCTCGATAGTTGTCTATCCTCTTTCTTTTCCATCTTGTTTTCCCAAATCATCTTTTGTTATACTAAACTTTGCCTTTTTTTTTTAGTTCTTTACTGGCTCCAGGTTTAGGATTGCAGGGAGCTGCAGTTTCAGCAGAGCAGTGGTGTGGTGTGACATAGCTTGAAAAGTTGTCCAACCCTGGACCTAACAGAACATGTAATTTAAAGCCACACTCCTTCTACCTGACCCGCTCTCCCTCCACAGCATTAAAAAATTTGAGAACACCGAGTACTGGCGAAGACGAACCCTCAGAAACCATGGGTAGGGAATTCTGAAACCTTGTGGCGTAAAGATGAACAGCACGTAGACCTTTGACCAGAGATTCCACTTACACATATAAAACCCTAAAGAAAATCATCACATAGGTATAAGGACACAAGTACAAAAATGCACTTTGAAATATGTTGTTAGTCATATTCTCACACCAGGAGCAGCTCAAACGTTCTTAGGCAGTAGAAGGGATAATCTGCGATATTTCCTACAGTGAAGAATCATATCATAACAAAAATGGGTGACTTGAAGTTTACATGTGATCATATGAATGAATCTCATACATATAATGTGGTAAAGAAGCAAGATACATGGGCTAGGGGTATAGCTCAGTGGCGTAAGTGCCTGCCTGGCAAGCTCAAGGTCGTGAGTTTGATCCCTGGTAACCCCCCTCAAAAAAAAGAAGCAAGATACAAAAAATTATATATATATATATATAATGTATGGTTCAAAAACAACCAAATTTGAATTATGTTGCTTAGAGATATGTACCTAAGTGGCAAAACTATGACTAAGTAAGGATAGGTTATCACAAAAGTCAATAATGTTTATTTGAGGTGAGGAGTAGTCTCTATAATTAGATGGAAGTAGGAGTGCTTAAATGAACTGGCAGTTTTATTTTTTGACCTGAATAGTGATTATCAGGGTTATAATGTTATAAAGATTTAATTATTCTTTAATAGTTAAATATTCTTTAATTATTCTGTAAACGGTACCTATGTTTTACGTTCTCTCTGCAAAAGAGTTATACCTCACTATAAAGAAATTGAAAAGAGAAATCTGAGAGCAGTGACACACACCTGCAGTCTCAGCTACTGGGCAGTCTGGGGGAAGAGGATCCCAAATTTGAGGCCAGACTGGACAATTTAGTGAGTTAGTGTCTCAAAATAAAATTTTTAAAGGGCTGGTGATATGGCTCAGAGGCAAAATTTTGCTGTGTTCAATCTATAATACAAGGGGTGAGGGAGAGAAACCAAGAAAATAAAACCACTTCTAAAATTATACCACTTTGTCTTAAATTAACCTTACTATTTTTACAACTGGTACTTTCCAGCAGTGACTAAATCAGTGTAACAAAAGATACTAGTAACGTACAACCACAGACAATATTGAATTTTGCCTTGAATTCCTCTGTGTGTGGAATCAGATGAGCATGTGAAAAACATTGTTTTGATTCCTAGGTTGGAGCATTAAACGCATGCTTCCTTGCAAAAAGAAACTTCCAAGTGGATTTATATGAAGCTAGGGAAGGTAAGTCGATGATAAATATTGTGAAATGTAATTCTGAGTTTTTGACATCTTTCTTAGATTTTCTGAATAAAATATTTTAATAAGAAATTTAAAAAGTGATTTTTTTAAACCTCAATGATCTACATATTAATTTTATGCTAATTTACTATTAGTGCTTTCTTTAGAAGAGTTAATGAGTCTCAATATAGTTCTGATGCAACAACTTTTCAAATACAGTAATACGCTCATCTTATATTAGAATATAAGGAGTTGTGTCTAACATGAAGCCCGTTTCCAATATCTTAGATATCCGAGTGGCTAAATCTGCACATGGAAGAAGCATTAACTTGGCCCTTTCTTATAGAGGACGACAAGCATTAAAAGCCATTGGCCTGGAGGACCAGGTACCTTGTTTATGTATTTTCTTAATAGAGGATAATATCTGATGGTTTTCACAATTTTGTGGTCTAGATTTTATCTTGGTTTAAAGTACCATTTAATGCTAAGGACCTCTGCACACAAAAAAATCATCCCACAAAGGCTTTCAAAATTCAAAATTTGACAAGAGCAGGCATATTTGACTACTGCACCAGGAAGACTTGAGGTCAAAGAGCTGGGGACTACAACCCCACCTGAAGGAAACTTCTGACTCTGGGTTCTCCTGGGATGGCAGACCTCTGCCTGTGGAAAGAGGAGGTCATCCAAAATGAGAAACGGTGGATGTATTTCCTGCTTTTTTTTTTTTTGGTCTCTTTGAGACAGGGTCTTGCTATGCAGCTGAGGCTGGACTTGAGCTCACTTTGTAGCCCAGGCTGACCTTGAACTCACAGTGATCCTCCTGCCTCAGCCTCCTGAGTACTGGGATTACAGGCATGCACACCTCTACTCCAAAAGTCCTCTGAATGTAGAAAGCTTTTCATCACTCATTTGGCACCAAAACTTGAACTGACATGAGACTATTTTTTTTATAGTCTATTTTTTCAAAATTCCATTTGGTATAGTTGTGTTTTACTGCAGCAATACTGTTCTTGATTAGAAGGTGGTACCCCAGACCTCCTGGTGTTATGAGATTGTTACCATCTATGTACTCTACTCTCTGCCTAAAACTTGAAAAATTCTGAATTTTGAAACCATCAAGCCCCTCAGGCTTGGATAACAGACTGTGTGCCTAGGGTAAATTTTCCTCAGATGGGCTTAATGTTATAGGACAACCATGTAGCTTGGAAATGTAAACAAAAGTAGTATAATTTTCTTGATATTACATTCGCTGAAAAAACATGTTTTTTTGTGGTGTTGGTGATCAAACCTAGGGCTTTGTGGGCACTTTACATCTTCATTTTAGCACTGTGTCTTTGAACTGATAATGTTAGTAAATATGAGTGCTGCTTACACCCCTGCTGTTCTCCAAACAGCTGCAAGTTTATGTAAGAAAAGAGTTTGCACAGAATTTTAGGGGTCCTCAGTTTTACTCCTCACGGTGTCCCTTCTCGTCAATCAGAGAAAAATTACCCTCTCTAACAATAAACCATTTTCTCTAATTTTCAAAACTGCTTTAGGTTAGATAAACATTAAATCAATTTCAAGATCTAACCTCAAGAAAAAACCTAAGAATGTCAGAAATACTACTCTCACTGCATGTGTTTTCACCATACTAAGTTTAGAGGATCCTTTACAATTTTTAAAAATTTTTTGGAAAATATTTGAAAATCACATTTACTTTTATTTATTTATTCAGTGGTGTTACAAATTTTAACTTAAACACTCTGAAAACAATAAGCTAAAAAAAATAAAGCCTGACAAGCTCTCTGAATTTACAAGATTGCAGGTAATGGTCACAGACCAGTTTCACAACTGCCTCAAAGATGTGCTTGCTTACCCATGTCTGGTAAGCTGAGCGATGACTTTGAAGATTACAATATGTAATACAACAACCATTGTTAATTTCCTATCATTGAGTTTTGAAATTCTGTATCGCTTTTGTTGTTTTGTTCTTGTCTTTGTTCTTATTATTTTGTTTTTGTTCTTTTCTCTTTAAAATTAAAAAAAAATGTGCAGTACAGCAATTACATGCAAGGATTATGTTTTTAAAAATCTGTATAGCAACACTGAACTATTTCCCAGAGGTTTTCACATCCACCAGATACTTTGACCTGAAGACGTGTTGGACAGACTCCTCTGCTCCGTATCACTAGCAGTACAACTTGGGATCTAAAATGGTGGTCTAAATTATTTTATATTGTGTGGCAAAAATGAGGCCTGACATGCACAGGACAATGAAATAAGAGATTCTTTAGCAAACGCCTGTCCTACTAAAAATCACATTTTAGAACCACTATCTGTCTTCATTTACAGCATCAGGTTATAGCAATTGAAATAATTTTTTCTGGTTTCGTTTCAGATTGTCTCCCAAGGTGTTCCTCTGAGAGGAAGAATGATTCATTCTCTTTCGGGAAAAAAATCTGCACTTCCCTATGGAACAAAGTATCAGGTAGGTCTACCTTGGAGATAAGTGTTTGTGAGCTGATTATAAGTAAATCTGATGTCTGGAATTGCTGTTTGCTTGTGGGCGGCTCCCTTCCTCTGTAGCCCTCCCTTTGACATTGGCTGCCTCAGAGTAGACCTCAAGGACAAGCAGTAGCAGCAAGTTAACTCAGGCTATGTTCAAAAGAGACTTCAGCTCATAATACACAGTAAAAAGAGTTAGTTATTATTACTGTTTTCACTATGCAGCCATTTCTTGCCTCTGTGTCTTGCTCCTGCTGCCCAGCTGCTTGGGATGCACTTTCCTCCCAGTTCCTTTTTAACTAGAGAAAATTACCCTGTTATTTGTTATCACACATAATGTACAACAACAACTCCACAGGGTGTTATGGTGTCATTGCCTTCCCCTAACCCTCTTGCCCAAAATTTGCTTATAATAGAATGTATAGAACGCACCAGACGTGTTTTCAGTACTCCATAATTTCTAGTACAACAGAGGCCAGATGGTGATTATGAAACAAAATTCATTACCCAATTTTGTATTTTTCTTATCTCTCATACAGTTGCAAATGTAACTGGGGAAAATATGTATTTTCATCTGATTATACCTGCCAAGTTTTTTGCTTGAGATAGAATGAAGGCCCCAAACCTCCACCAACAAGTAGCAAATTCCAAATTGCTCTGTTTTTATCCAGAAATGCCTTATTAAATGCAGAGCCTGAGTGAGGGTCACTGTGAACAGAGCTGCTGTTGTGGGTAGATCCGTGTTTCTCAGATTCACCTGAGAATTTGTTGAAATGTGGAATCTGGTTTGGCAGGGTTGGGTGGAGGCCGAGGTTCTGGGTTTCTAACAAGCTCCAGGGAGGCTCTTGTGCTTTTGGTCCGTGAGCCACACTGTGATTAGCCTGAGATAAAACACACACACACATATATATATATTCATGACAACAAAGTCTTTGGGGACCTTGTGATGATAAGTGTGGCTAAATAGGAAAACATTTCAATAGTTAAGGACTTTGTAATAAAGCAGGATCAAAATTTTAATGAGGGGCGTTTGGAAAAATAGTAAACTGCTTGTTTTGGCATTATAAAGACGTAGGTTCTGAGTCTTAATCCATGTACTTCACAGGGGGAAGGGGAAAAGAAAGGCTCCTTAGTCATCCTTTGTGAGATAAACATCTTTAGCTAACTGACATATCTTATTTAGTTAGCTCCAAATTGAGTTAGGATCTGTAGAAAAGACAAAAAAGCCATCTCTTCTTAACAGGCAAGTTGAGTTTACACCTGCAGATTAAGTATTAGGCCTGTATATTAAATGCATTACTCCAGTAAACAATAATTGTTTGTGCTCTACCATGTTACTTGCTGAGGACAGAAAAGAGGCCAACCTGGTAGGGATAGACAACCTTCAGGTTCAGCACGAGAAGTCTTCAGTTGAGTGATGTGGACAAGATATACTAGAATGGCTCAGAGACGGAGGATAGTTTCCATTTTCAGTGATTTCTCAGAGAAAATGAGATTTAAGTCTCAGGCTCAAAGAGCTGCCTGGGGAACACGGCGGGGGGCTGGTGGGAATAAGGTAGGTTTCCTCTCAGACAGCTTGAGAGTGTTCCTGAAGTCCTACACAGCACAACTCATACTTGTGCTGCTGTTCTTTACTAAACTGAGAGTGATTCATAACATTCACAGAATGTGCTGAGGAAGACCAAATCATCACAGTTAGAGATCCTCTCCAGGGCCCAAGCCAGTCACACATCAAAAGCTAGAAGATATTGCTCAAGTGGCAGAGAAGCTAGATGAGGAGAGTGACTTGGACCTAAGGACAGAAAGTGGCTTCTTCACTGACATTCCTGCGTGCCTGTGAGAGAGAGAGGGAGGAAGGAGGGGGAGAGAGAGAGAGATTCTTGGTGGAAATTCCCCATCTGGGAGACTTCACTACATTACAAAAGGAAGGAAATTGCCCACCCCACCCCCACCCTCGTGCTCTTGCTGTTTCTCAGTTCTTAAGAACTGAGTGCTTGCAAATTTACAGCCACCCCCATTCTTTAGTTTTTACATCATTACATTTTCAGTGCAGTCAGAGAACTCAGAAAATAACAAATGCGGGGCTGGGGATTTAGCTCAGGGGCAAAAGCGCCTGCCTGGCAAGCGCAAGATCATGAGTTCGGTTGCCGGTACCGGAGAAAAACCAAAAAAAAAAACAAATGCTGGCAAGGATGTGGGGAAAAGGTTCTGTACTGTGGTGGAAATGTAAACTAGTACAACCACTACGAAAATCAGTACGGAGAATCCTCAAAAAACTTAAAGTAGAAATTCCATTTGATCTAGCTGTATCTTTCTTGGGTATTTTCCTGAAAAAGTTGTAGATATCACATTACACTGATACATGCATACCATGTTTATAACAGTGCAGTTCACAATAGCTTCATTATAGAAAGAGCCTAGATGTCTTTAAACAGCTAAATGAGCTAAGAAAGTGTGGTATAAATATATAAGGGAGCATTGCTTAGCCATAAAGAAAGATAAATTTGAATCATTTGTAGGAAAATAGATGGATCTTGAGACCATAATGTTAAGCAAAATAAATTAGATTCAGAAGGATAAATATTCCATGGTTTCTTTTATATAAGAAATCCAAACTATAAATAATAGAAAAGTAAAATAAAGAACAGGATGGTAGGAAACAGGGAGATAGACTTTTCTGAGACAGGGAAGGGGATCTAAAAAAGGGGGAAGAGGTTGGGAGAGGAAATACAAAATGATCAAGATCCAATATGTATGTCCCAATTGGCATAAATGAAAATAATTTTTATGTGTTGCAAACATTTACCAATAAAAATCAAAGAAACAAATAAAAAAACTAAGCTTGTAACTTTCTGCTGAGTAATAAATAATTTCTGCTACTGATTGACTCACAATTGCCTGTCCATTCCCCAGAAATAATATCTGTTCTGGTTTTTTTTTTTTTTGCAGTATATTCTTTCTATAAGCAGAGAAAATTTAAACAAGAGTTTATTGAATGGTAAGTCCAATGCTTTTATTCACTAGTTTGAGTAAAGCACATGGGACTCATTTTATCATATGATTTATTTGGATTTGCTCACTTTTCTTTTTATGGCTTATAAAGGGTAGAACTATATACATTACAAAGTCCCTGAGCAGCAGTAATAGTGCCTCCCGTATACCTTTTGCATCTTATCAATTATCTACATGAAAATCCCATGTTTGTCGGTCATGTATTGAATGCCTCTCACATCTCTGGCACTGGAATGAATGTGTATCCACTTGATGAACTCATAGTCTAGTGGAACAGCAGATATAGTCAGACAATTTGCAAAGTGGCAATTAGATGTGCATTTCCAAAAGACGAGCAGCAGCAGTGTGGTGGATGAGAGAGAGTTGTGATCTTGAGTGCACTGCTACAATCCCTGTGTGCAAAAATAAAACCCTGGCTAAAGTTATAGTGACATGGTAGGAGAGGAGCATGTAGGTTCATATTTGTAGAAGACCAAATATACAGGGATTGAGAGAGTTGAAAAAGAGGAAGATGTGAAAAATAACCTTGAATAATAAAAATGCCTACACACAAACAGAAAAGCCAATGGACTGTAAGTTAAATCTGTAGTTTGCATAACCAATCACACTCTGTGAGCCTTTCAGCTACACTAACTGTAACCCTAACTCATACTAACTTCTTCTCTTCAGCATTGGTACTAAACAGGCTCACTGCCAGCAAAGTATGCTTCTCAAGTAGTTCTAGCTTTTAAGCCAAGCCCTTTTGATGCAGCTGTGCAGCTCTGCTCTGTGGAGAGTACTGCTCCCACACGACTCATCTTTATTTCCCCATAATCCCCTCACAGGGTCAGTTTACAGTGTGTCAGTTGGATGGAATTGAATGGAGTTTGACTGAACTGAGTTGAACAAATTGGGTTGAACTGAGAGGCGGAGGTCATGGGAAAGTCACTCCAGCTGATTTCCTGTGGACATAGGACATAGGGCTTCAAATTATCCTGAATTCCATTTACTTATAGTTATGTTTGGAAGACTATCTTTTAGACAGGTAGATGCATGAGTTGGGACCAGTTTACTAGCTGTATTCATGTTGTCCCTAAGAAAGTAAATGATACAAGCCACCTTTCAGGTCGGCAGCATGGCATATAAAATAACTCTTTGTATAACATCTTCTGGGTTTTCTAATGTAAAAATAACAGCAAACATTCAGTGAAGCACCAAGCACTGTAAGAAGTAGTTTATATGTGTTTTACAAACTCTCCCAACAACTATATGAAGTGGGAATTATTTTCATCGCAGGTTTAGGGTTACTGGCTACTAAGAGATCTTAGAGGACACTATGAATAATGTAGAATCTGGATTTGAACTTAAGTCTGTTTATTCCAAAGTCTGTGCTTTTAACTGCTTGGTTTTTTTGCCTCCAATATTATATATGAAACACCTGCAAATACTAAGGAGCTAAAACATGAGAAAAGTACAATTAATATTGTACACATTTCCCTAATTGTTGTCCATGTGTCATGCATAGCACACAGTTTAATGAAGATGTAAATATGTTAATAAAATGAATGCTGAATCTCTTGACTCAAACTTTGTTTGGCGTATAAGGTCCATCATTCCTTTATAAGCCAGCAAGTGTGTGAGTCACTCATTCCACATTTTCAGCATGTTCAGCCAATTTTAAATGCTCATTTCTCTCTACACAAATGCCTCTTGGAAAACACATTAGTTAATTATATCTCTGCATGAGCATTTATGTGGGATTGATTTGATTCATTATTCTATGTAAGTTGATACTTGTTAAAGAAAATAAGTCAGAAAAGAATATTTGGCCAAATTACTTTGGTCATCCTGCATTAGATCAATTTGGGAGGGGAAAGAAAGAGAATGGAAAAAATTAAGAGGTGCTATGTACACATACCAACACCCCGCAATGAATGTGATCATCATGTACTACATACATGTACCAAGAAAGAATACAAATTGAAAAAAATAATTAAAAGTCTTTGTTCAGTCCTTCGCAAGACCTTTATTATACTAGTCTGCACTGTGGGCCTTGTAAAGCAGGCTTGTCCAGCATGAGGTCACAATACCAGCTAGATGTGTACTTTTCAATTTTATATTAACCGTGTTAAAAAAAAAACTAGAAAAGAGTCATGTAAATTTTACTGCACCTAATGTACGATTCTAAAGTATGAAAAATATTGCTATTTCAACAAGTAACCAATAAAGTTATTCATGATATAATTTTATTGTTTACTATGTATATAAAGTTTGCTCAAAATTGTCAAAATCCAAAGTGTGCCATACATGTCAATATTAGCAAATTTTCTAGCCCTGGACAGCCACCTGTGGTTGGGGACTAGGATCCCAGAGCTCAAGCGAACTAGGATATTCAGTATTTCTCTCTCTCTCTCTCTCTTTCTCTCTCTCTCTCTCCCTCTTTGACCATAGGACAGATTTTAAGGATGTGTTTCAAAGAATATCAGTTGTGGAAAACTCTTTGGGACATAAAACTATACACTTATGCAAAAAGTTAAATTAGTTAAAAAGTTTATTCTACAAATACATTTTGTATTTTATAAAAATACCCATAGTGAAGCAGTTAAACTTATTTCTGCAAAGTTCTTTGCAAAAATATTTCTGATGTGTATCTAAGTTTCTTTGGCTTATCATGTCTCAAATTTCAATATTCTGAGACTTCCAATACCATATTCAGGACTCCAGCAACTTCCAAACTCTGAATCAAGCTCAAATAAAAGAAGATGAAGCCAAGGTGAGAAGGAGAACTAAGTCCATTTATGAATATTAAGTTGGAAGTCAGAAGCCTTGGCTTGTTTTCTTTAATTTTTTCAAAATTCAGTATTTCTTAATTTAATTTTTAACATACATAATCAAATGTATACAACCTGAGAAGTTTGGTCTTTGATTTTTTATACATTATGTGACCCCAGAGATTTAATTTTTCCTTCCAGGGTCTTGATTATTCTGTTGTAAAATGAAGGGTTTTGATCTCCCTCAGCTCCAAGGTCTATTCCAGTTCTAACACCTGTCCTGTGATTAGTAACTTTTCTTAAATAATAAATAGCCTGTAGTTATAGATCTCTATAACAATTAATAGGGACAAAACTTGTATTTTACTACTATAATAAAGTGATTAATAGTGCAAGAAATGAAATTCATTCAATTCCATACATTGCTAGAAGCAAATCAGAAAACCACTATCAGAACTTAGTTTTATTCAGTGAGATATCTCAAATGTTCTTATCCCTCCCCTTCCAGGGTTTCTAGGAAGACTTAGTATTGCTACTCTATACTTGGGACAGTTTGAGCCAGAGGTCTAGAGGGCTTGCTAAAAAGAGACATAGAGGCATGCATTATATGAGGAGAGAAATTTGTCTGAATATTTTCAAGCATAAAAAAAGCCTTAAGTTAAAGACAAGTTTTGAAATATGTGCAACCTCTTTCTTTCCAAGGCTACTAAAAATTACAAGGATGCAAGAGTTTGTCCAAGGTAATTAGTTGGATAACTGATTTTTATTCCTCTGTTTTATTTTTAAAAATATGCTAGACCATTTGCCAAACAATTGTCAAATTTCAATTTTACAAACCCATTTTATATTGTTAAGAATAAATATCTCTATATAACAGCGCTCCAAGACATTGACTAATATTTCAACCTGATCAAGTGAAACCAGCATTGGAATTTCATTTCTATTTGCCTTCTTTGTGCTTCCTCAGCTGTTGAGAAATACCCCAATGTGAAGGCGCACTTTGGCCACAGGCTGTTGAAATGTAATCCTGAAGAAGGAGTGATCACAGTGCTTGGGTAATCATGGGTCAGGCTTTGGCTTCCGAGATGAAGGCTTAGGGTGGAGAAGTGCATATGTAAACTTTGTTCTTTAGCTCTTTTGAAAGATATAACTGATAACGGAAAGGGTATCCTAGATTCAGAGAATTTTAGATTGAAAATTAGCCCTGAATGCTTTCCTGTGGACATAATGCCTGTGATTCCTCTTAATGTTCATGCTATCTCACCTTCCCAAATTATCTGAGACTGGTGATCATGCTCAGTCTCACATTCTTTCATCCCTTGAAATTAGTGGCCCTCCCTTGCCCAGATCTCTCTGTCTTCTGTCCCTCCTTGGCTGGTTCTACTTCCTGTCAGATGCCATGTCTCATATCTGAGTCTTGGGATACGACATGGATTCCCAATCAATCAATGTTAATTTCCTGATTATAGGAACATCTTACTGTTATCTCAAACTGCCCACTGAGTTTTCATAAACTACTACTTCATACTTAATCCTCCTAGTGGAAAAATCAACTTTCTCCCTTTTGCCTGAATAACACATTTAAACCTTTAATCTTTGTGCCCAAAATTCTCTTCATCTCCTCGCTCCTTCCCCTCCACACACTGTACAGCTGGCCAGTCATGTCTGTGGGGTCCTCACCCATAGACTCAGCCAACCTTAGATCAAAACTATTTTTAATTCCATCTGTATTGAATATGTACAGAATATTCCTCACCATTATTCTCTAGACAACACAGTATACCAACTATTTATATAGCATTTATATTTTATTAGGCATTATAAGTAATTTAAAGATAAAATATATGGGAGGATATGCATAGGTTATACACAAACACTACACTATTTTATATTAGGGAATTCAGCATCCACAGATTCTGATGTCCTGGATCCACTCCTGGAGAATAAGGGACAATAAGTATTCTTTTCTCGAGCTTATCTTCTGATACCCTTTGCTCAAACCAAACTTGTTGTTCCTCAGAAAATCTGGTCACATTCCTACATTTTATCATTCATTCACTCATACATTTGGAGTATAGGAATGACTGTTCATTCATACACTGGGGATACCTTTCTCTTCTCTCAAAATTTCTCCTCCTTCATATGAGAGCTCAGCTCTTTGCTACAAGTCTATAGCATAGTGTGTCTTTATTAATCAGCATGGTTATATATCATTCTCATTCTCATAAGCAAAACTGTTACTGGGACGAGTATTTTCACCTTAATTTTATGTCTATTGACTCAAAGCTCAAAGACATGTAAAAGTGAGTTTTCTGGTTACCCACTGAGCCACTCCTTTTCGTACCAAAGTCAAAATATATCATCATATCTGTACTAGATTTCTTGGCTTGCTTGTTGGATGATTCATTCTATTTTTCAGAGCTGACAAAGTTCCCAAAGATGTCACATGTAACCTCATTGTAGGATGTGATGGAGCTTATTCAACTGTCAGAAATCACCTCATGAAGAAGCCCCGCTTTGATTACAGTCAACATTACATTCCTCATGGGTACATGGAGTTGACTATTTCACCTAAGAATGGGGATGTGAGTTCTTTCCCTTTCCACTGCCCTCCCCCACAGGACTGTAGAAGTGTAATCTTGTGCAATGTTTCTCAGTGGCATGTCTTGATCAATTTGGTGTTCCACCAAAAAAACTTTGTAATTGATAGTAGGTCAGATATACAACTTTCCCTTCAGTAATATCACTCCCTAACCTTTTGGTATGTTTTCTTAAGAGGAAGAGAAAGGAGGAAAACACACAATGGATTTATGTTACATCACAATATCATTTGTCTATGTGCTCTTGGAAGGAAAAAGAAGGTTGAGAATTGTATTAGCTAGATTTCCTGTCACTGGAACACAGTGCTCAGCACTTACAAATTTAAAGGAGTAGAGGTTTAATTTGGCTAATGGTTTCAGGGGATTCACTCCATGGTTGGCAGGCTCCAAAGCAGAAACATCCTGGTGGAGTGCATGGCAGAGCAAAGCTGCTTAGTTTATAGTGGCCAGGAAGCAGAGCAAGGGAACAGTTCCAGAGAGGAAGAGAGGAGAGACCAGATACAGGCTCCAAGGTCATGTCTCTATGACCCATCCAGACACACCCAGAAATGTGCCTTACTGATCTCCTGGGTGAATCTCAAAACCCATTAAAATGACACTCTACCTTTACTCTTGCAGAAATCAATTTTCCAGTATACTAATAATCCAGAGTTCTTATAACCATAATGAAGTCAGATAGCATTTAAATAATTAATCAAATAAAATGCCTAATGATTTGCTATAAAGAGATTTCCATTGCATTTTCCTCATTCTCTGATTACACTGATATATGACACCAGAGGCAAATAAATGGTTATCTCCCAAACTATTTTAATCAGAAGTGTTGACCTTTACTATTGAAGTAAATGGCTCTTTTAGGATCCTCCACCTGGCTCCGCAAATTCTCCTGTGCCAGAAGCCACTGCCCTTCTCTTCTTTTCCTCTGCACTCTCCCCTTCTACACCAGTCCTTTTTCTGACCTACCCCAGCCCCACAAGAACTTACTTGTCAACCTTTTATTTCCTGTACTTTCCATGACTTACATTTTTGTTAAAATGAAGTTGCCTGGTCTTTCACATGTATCCATCTTGCCTAATCCACTGCATTGTAAGATCTTTGAGGTCAAAGAGACATGCACTTACTCATGTCTACGTCTGGGGGGTGGCCTTTCTTTGAGACCCTGGAACTAAAAAGAGCCAGGCAGGTACTGTGCTTCTCCTAAGATGCAATAACAACATTTCAACACGAAAATGCTGGCTGGGAGACAAGCTCTTCTCTTAGGGTGCTTCTTACTATGTAAGGTACACACATGAAAGGTGCTGCCTAAATATTTGTAGAAAAATACAGATTTGAAATATTTGTAAAATAGACCACATATTTTATAAAAATATGTTACATAATGATAAATTTATATTTATATATATATATATTTGGGTCAAGTAGGTCTTTGGGTTAATTGATCTACCCAAGCAACCCATATTTATTCAGATTATCATTGCAGATATGTAGAGGAGTAATTAAAAAAATAAGACTATTCTTTTACTTATATTGTAGGAAAGAGATAAAAGCTTGCTTGTAAAATTTTGTTTGCCTTGTGAAAAACTTAAATTTAAGACTGTTTTGTCCAACATAAAAAGGTCTTCAAATAAGGCAAAGATATAACTTATATGCCTACACATATACAGCTTCCTACATTTATACAGCATTTTATATATTTATTTCATATTTATGTGTATGTGTTTATGCTTGTATATGTGTATATATGTATGTATATGGAGGGAGAAAGAAAGAACATCTTATTATTATAGTATGTTCTCAAATCTTACATTGTACCTGGTATCAAAAATTCACCTAAAGTTAAGCTTATAAAGATAGAACGCAAATCATTCTAAGATAACTTCTAGATGTTGCAATAGATATCCTATCCCATGTACGATACTGGCTTAAATCACTATGAGAATAATATAGAGTCAGTTTTATACTGGTGTTATATTAATGCACTGATCAAACATATATATATATGTATGCTTTTTTCTCTCCTGTAGTTTGCCATGGAACCTAATTATCTGCACATTTGGCCTAGAAATACCTTTATGATGATTGCACTTCCTAACATGGTAATATAGAATTTCTTACTAACTTAAAATTTGCATCTATGATTAATATTTTTCATTACTTTTGTACTTTGTATATGTGTGCCTAATTGATGTCTTCATTGTTAGATCTATTTAATGATTGTCCTCTAAAGCTTTGGGTTACTGTAGAAAGACCTGGGGAGAAACTCCAAATATTTTTCAGAAAGACTTAACTTGAATGAATAACAGGAGTTTATGCATGGGGGTCCCCGTCATCTCCATCAAAGACAGTCTGAGAGGAAATAGCGCCCCAACAAAGTCAGAGATTTAGGTTACGCATTAGGAAGTATCTCCAGCATTTAAGGGCTGTAGGACAATGAGATATATGTTCCGTAAAAAGAGCGTGCCTTTTCTTTCATTCGCCCCTGGGGGCTTTTCTCCTATATAGATCTGTCATCTTTTCTCTGGTTGGTCTTTTCCTTCCAGTTGCTATCTGCCCTGGAGCCCAGCGTCTATTGGTACTCTTACAAGGAAGAAAAAGAAAAATATCAAAGCCACCAACCTATTAGTAGTTTAAGGAGTGCAGTGTTTGCTTGGTGAAAACGGAAAGCTTAGTGTAGAAATTCTCCTAATGACCAACGGTGCCAGTGAGCACCCCCTGAAACTTGGCAGAGCTTTTCTTTAGGGGTGACAAGACAAAGCAATGGTACCTTTCGGTCTCCTTGGACAATCAATCACTCTGGTCCTAGCCAGAAGCTCTGTGATTTAGGGATCCACCACTAGGGGGCATTGTCCAGACCCTGTTCTCTCTCACATTGTTCTTTTCACAGGACAAATCCTTCACGTGCACTTTGTTCATGCCCTTCGAAGAATTTGAAAAACTTCTTACCAGCAATGATGTGCTGGATTTCTTCCAGAAGTACTTTCCAGATTTTATCCCTCTCATTGGAAAGTAAGTTTTCCGCTTTTTGCTTCGTTGGTTTGAGTTATTCCAAATTATGCAACTTATTTCAGCTTTTAGTAGACTTGATTGATAGTGCAGTGACCTGGAGAGAAATCCACTTTAGAGCAAAAGTCTCAGTGGATGTCCTGCTGTGAGTAGGGATTCTGAGAAAACTCAGGAAGAGATGGACCGCTTCTCCTGGAAAGATGAGCCCCCAGTGTCCCAGGCTTATACAGCTTGAGTAGGCTCCTCAGGCGTCTTGGGCTTCACATGACATAGAGCCTGCCGGTGTCTCCTTACACTGAGTGACACACAAAGCTTTGGCACAACAGGTATATCTAGCAGCCTCAAGCCTCGGATCCACCACTTGTGAGCCCCATCAGCTTCCCTATGCCGGAACCCTCGTGATAAAATGCTAACAAGTAATAGTACTCACCCCATGGGATCATGCCTCTAAAATCATCGAGCACAGGATCACATAGAGTCCCACACAAGGGTCAGCTCATGCATTAGCTATGTGGCCCATGATTTGTTGCTCCTCTGGCGCATGTCAGTAGCGTGTTTGTGTGGACTTTGTCGTGGGGACACATTCGCAGCCTCTGCTCTCACTGACCGTCCCTCCTAGAATCTACCTTCTACTCCAGTGGTACACAAGAGTATGTCTCAGACTATTCAGGCTACTATAGCCAAAATACCCTAGACTGGGTCCTTGTAATGGAAAGAACCCTATTTTTCACGATTTCTCACAGCTCATAGAAGCAGCTTCTCCCTGTGAACTCACACGGTGAAGAAGACTGTTAAAGAAGACTGTTAAAGACTGTTAATCCCGCTCCGTGAGGGCTTTGCTCCCATGACCTAATCACCTCTCAGAGGCCCACCTCCAAATACTATCACATTGAGGACTAGGATTCCAAAACATTCAGCTGTAGCAGAGCAGGGGTTTCTTTGTTTTTTTCCCGGTACCAGAAATCGAACTCACGACCTCGTGCTTGCCAGACAGGCACTGTGCCGCTGAGCTAAAACCCCAGCCCCTCAGAGGAGGATTTTAATACTACTTCTGCCTCCTACTTCCTGGAGTCTCACCTGTATCAGAATACCTACATTTCAGAGTAGTTACGAACTTTTAATGAGGTAATTATGCCCACTGCTGGCCGATAGATGACTTTTAAAACTTGCTAGTTTGCATCCTTTCCTGTAGGCTAATTCAGTCCGTATTGATCTCTCCTCCAACTATAGAGAAAACTCTCTGTCTGCACACCAAATTTAGCCCTTATGTCCTTTTAAATTTGTTCCATGGCTATTTCTTGCTTCTTCAGCCAAATTCAAAAGCCTTAAGGGTATGTACCGTTTCTCTATTTATAAATTCCACAAAGTGCCATAAATGCATTACAAACAAGTAGGGTTTTGTTTTTTTTTTTAGGGGGAAGCGTTTGTTCTTTATCATAGCCAGCATGTTGTACAATAGAGCTTTTAGCCTTATTTTTCTGTCTCAATGAAATTATGTAGCCTTTAACCAACATATTACAATTCCTCTAAATACCAATTTAGTCACCCTTGTTCATTTCGAAATCCATAAGGATTCATATTAATTTTATTTTTGGTTTATTGTGATCTAATCCAATGTACAATGTCCTTTGTTCAGGTTTCCATAGAAGCTTAAATACACCAATATATTGGAAAATTTCATGACCTCATGATATTTCCTGACATGACATATGACAAAGATATTTTAAGTTCTTCAGATGCTGCCCAACTTGTTCCTTTGGGGTGTGATTAAAACTGTTGCAAATGAAGAAGATGAGAACAATGGAACTTTAGGACTGGAAGAAACTAGTTTTCCCTTTCTTATTTTCTTCCCAGCATTTTCTGTCCTGTACTGGGGATCTAGGGATTGAATCCAGGGCCTCACACATGCTAGGCAAGTGCTCAGTGCTGAGCTACACCTGTAGTAGTTTTCCTTTTTTTTTTTTTTTTTTAAATTTTGAGACAGGGTCTCACTTAACTTTCCAGGCTGGGCCCAAACTTGCAATCGTCTTCCCTTAGTCTCCCAAAGACTGAAGTACAGCCATTACAGGCCTACGCTTCCTGGCATTCTTATATACTTCTTAATAAAATTCTGTGCCAGTGATGGCAAAGCTTTTAGAGCTTTCAATGATACACTGCAGGGTGCCATAGGTTCGCCACCACTGCTCTGTGGTAATGAAGCCAATAAATCTGAGAGAATTGAGCAGAGTTTCATACCCAGCTTGACACCTTTACATTTTGCGTATTTCCTCTGAAGGCAAACCCTGGTGCGAGACTTCTTTCTGTTGCCGCCCCAGACAATGATATCTGTCAAGTGTTCTGCTTTTCACTTTAAGTCACACTGTGTGTTGATGGGAGATGCAGCTCATGCCATTGTCCCATTTTTTGGCCAAGGAATGAATGCGGTGAGTTGTTTTAACCTAGGTAAGTTCCTGAAGTATTTCCAGGTCAGTCTCATCAAGTCCTAAATAAAATATACTGTTAAAACTATCCCCATCTAAAGAGTAAGACAATGATTATATCTGTAGCTTCACTAGATTGATCACCAACTCAAGTTAGGATTTGGATTATTTGATCTAGTAACATTCAGTGCTCAAAAAAAAAAAAAAGATTACAACACAGTAGTATTCTGTACCACTGGAAAATATAACAATAGTATAAATTTGGAAAAATGAGGTGATTCAAGCCTTCTTTTTTAAAATTGAATTTCTGAAGCAATTATGTACAAATACATAATGTTAGCTTAAAAGAAAAAGATTTCCAAGCTATCTTTTCATAGCATTTTTCCCCTAAGGGAATGAGAAACACATTTGACAGGATTAAATAAAACTATGAAATGGATTGGATGTTGGATACTGCCTTTATGCCACGTTCACTTAACTGCTCTATCCGTGCACAGCTTATGCAATATACTCACCAATGAAAGTTCTGTTAAAAATTGGTAAGGTTTTATTATTTCAGGTTAATTTTTCTCATTTTTTCCCCCCTCGCATCAGGGCTTTGAAGACTGCTTGGTGTTTGATGAGTTAATGGATAAATTCAATAACAATCTCAGTAAGTAAAATTTCTCAGTCAGACATGGACTGGACATGCTAATGAATTGGGGAAGCTATTTCTGATCTCAGTAGTCACAAAACCTAGCATATATTTTCTTTTCAGGGTTATAAAATTTTCTATTAGGAGCTAGTGCCACCATTGTTGACCACATCACACAATCTGTACTCAGAAAGGAAACATAGTTTCTCTTAAGATTTGTTCATGGAGATCTGCGTTAGCTTTTCTTTACTATAAGAAATACCTGAGATAATCAACTTATAAAAAGAAAAATGTTGGCTTCATTTCACAATTTTCAAGGCTTAAGTCCATGATCACATGGCCCCATTTGGGTACATCATGGCAGGATGTGCATGGCACAGCAAAGGCTGCTTCCTTCGTGGCCAGGTCCCACAGTCCTCTTCAAAAGCATACCCCCGAGCACCAGAGACCTTCCACTGTACCCCATCTCTTAAAAATTCTACAACTTTCCCATAGCATCTTCCTGGGGAAGGAGCAAGATTTTAACACATGAGCCTTTGAAGGACACTTACTATACAGACTATAGCAAGAGCCACGCAGCGGTGCACGCAAAGAGGAAAGTTTGGATAACCAAAGTTTGATGAAGATGTTCTGTTTTCTCTCCCCTTTGAACCTAAGTAACAACCCCTGTTTGTGTTCCCTACTTCACCCCAGAAACACTCTTAGAGGCTCCAGTGCTTTCTTGTTTTTTGTCCTGTTACTTTCATTTGCCTTTTAGTTAAAATTGATTCAGGCAGTGTATTAATTTTATAAATATTGAGGTTTTAAATTTTTACAAGTAATTACGTAAATGTATGTGTACATATTTACATGTATTTAATATAAATTTACACGTGTATGAATAGTAGCGTAAGCACTGGACTGCCCACCTCTTCCAACTCCTCATGTGTTCTAAACGGCTACCTTGCAAAGGCAAGAGGTAACCCAGAGAACTGGGCTTGGAACATTCACACACACTCAAAGTATTGACTTGCCAATTTTGCATGTGACCTTGAGCAAGTCATTTGGTCTGTCTAAAGCTGCCATTCTTTTTCATCTATAAAGCAGGGATAATAAGTTAACTTCAGTTATGACAATCATGAAGATTAAAGAAAATTATGTATATAAAGCTTTAAAAGCAAAAAAGAAAGCCTGGCATAAAGTGAGCTCATAGCAAATGTTTGTTATGGTGTTATAGGAAATCATCAGATGCTGGTGTATAGGTCTGAAAAAATTATAGGGCTCCAGGGAATAACAATTACTCTCTCCCACCCCAACCTCCTTCTTCTTCATCTTTCTTTCCCAGTCATCTCAGATGGTCAGGATCTAGAGGGATTTAATTTTCTCCTTTCTTAGCCCTGGTGTGATAGGTTTGCATGAAATGATGAAGATGGATAGAGTTCATGTATCAGAACATACTTGTAACACCAGTTTTGGATACTAGAGAACAAAGACAAAATGATAATCACTGTGAATAATAATTATAATTGCCATCACTGAGCATTTACTATGTTTTCAGCACTTTGGTATCTTAAAAATGCATTCTTTCTTTTGGTCCTTACAAAAAACATAGGACACTGATACTGGTCTTGTCCTCATTTCATAACTGAGGAATTAAATTTAGAAATAGTTAAACAACTTGCCAAAAATCATGTAGCTAGGAAACAATGAAAGTGGGACACTTAGGCCAGGTTTTCTGACTTTAGACATCGCATCTCATCAGGAATGGTGCCATACACCTAGAATCCCAGCACTAGGGAGGGAGAGGTAGGAGGATCAGCATGAGTTTGAAGCCAGCCTGGGCTACATAGTGAGTTCAAGGCCAGCCCGAACTACACAGTAGGACTCTATCTCAAAAAAGAAAAAAAAAAATAGATATGACATCTCAACATCTTTTTTATTTTTCTTTTTTTGGTACTGGAAATTGAACCCACGGCTTTTGCTCTGAGCTGCACTGCATCCCTAGGCCTTTTTCCTTTTTTATTTTTAGATAGGTCTCATGTGTCTCCAAGTTGCCTAGGCTAGGCTCGAACTTATGATCTGCCTACCTCAGGTCATCTCTAACAGATAGAGTTGTTTGGCTGTGTGAAAATAATATGTTAGTGATTCATTTGTCAAGTATGTATTTAATATTTCCTGTATGACATGTTAAGAGTTTAAATATGAACAAAACCTGGAGCCTGATTTCCAGGAGCTCACAGAATAAAGGAAGGACTGATATTCAAGCCAGTGAGGTGTCTTTAGTGCAGTGGAATAAGTGTGGCTGAGCTCAAAGGAGCACAAATAGAAAGTAGCAAGTTGTATGCAGAGTGAGGGTCATTTATATGTACTTTCCACTTGTGAAATAAGGGAACATAATCATTTTAACAGTTAAGCATAATACGTATTAACTTTATCGTAAGTTTTATTTCATCACAGCAGGAAATACAGTGTGGGCACTGCTCAATAATCATAGATTGCTGGTGACACAGAATGGTTATTCATAGTTTTAAAAGATTAGTATGAATGTTCATCTTGAGACTATTATTTAATTTGACCTAGATAGAGTCCAGCACATTTTTCTAGGCTGCTTTGAAAATAGGTATTATTTAACTTGGTTTCTAGGTATGTGTCTTCCTGAATTCTCAAGAGTTAGAATTCCAGATGCCCATGCCATTTCAGATCTGTCTATTTACAATTACATGGAGGTGAGTAAGATTTGATTTCATCCCACAAGATGGTTTTACTGACACACCAGCAATTGTCTCCTTTTTTCTCTGCTCCAGCCCCATCTGATGCATGCTGCATAAGAATAGATAGAAACAAGAATGAACACACATACACACACACACAAACACACACACGCTCATATACAAACCATTCTTCAGACATGGTGGATTGTGACTATATATCAGTAACAATGATACACACACATTATTTCCTCTTGTACTTGAGGGACATTTAGAAGTAACAGAGATGACAACATTTCTAATGACTCACAGGCTCAAATCTTAGATAGCAGAGTTATTTATATTCTATTTTAATAAAAATACAATTCTGAGGTATGTTAACATATTACATTTCCACCATTAACATCACAGCCTACATATTTAGAGTAGCACTGAATATCCTCTTGAGCCTTATGCACTAATGTCTAGTACCAAAGAAATTCCTTGTCAGAAAAATAAATACTTCAAAGAAACACGCATTAATTTCATTTGAAGCCAACCACATGACAGGTGATTGCAATTATAGTTTTAAAATAATGAAATGAAAAAATTTATAAAATAAGAAGGATTTAAAGATTTTAAATTTTTAAAAAATGACTATTTCCCATCTCTCCTAAAGACAGAAAGAGAGAGAGGGAGAAAGAAAGAAAGAAAGAAACAAAGAAAGAAAAAGGAAGGAAGGAAGGAAGAACTCTCCAACTTGAGTAGAATTGTATCATATGTGGTTAAGGACATTCTAAAATGTATAGAAAGACTATCAATTTATCTTACTTGAGTCTTTAAAACCAAGACAGCTACAATGCAACATTTGTCCTGTGTAAAGAATAGTAGTAGATCAAGATAGACATGGCCTTCCATAATTGCTGGCTATCATAAACCATACTATAGGAAGCAACAGAAATTGGTCAAATCTTTGAGCTCACAGATACTCACAGATGTGCTTGGAAGGCAGTTATGCTCACCACTACACCACCAACACTCACAGATGTGCTTGAACAAACTCCTTGCCAAAATAGACCTCTCATACTGACCTCTGAACAAAACAGACTTCCCTGGTAGCCTTTTGTTATTGTACATTTTCAAGATAATGTTCTATGGTATTGAAATTTCTTAAAAGAGATGGGGAATGACTATTTATGGAAATGGAAATTTATTTGACTACTTGTACCTAGCGTTGTGATGAATGGGAGTGAAAAGTAATAAAGAAGTTGTAGTAAGAAAACAGACAGTACTTTGTTGAAGATATTTTTAAAAACTCTCCATTGCAGATGCGAGCACACGTCAACTTCAGGTGGTTCATTATTCAAAAGAACATAGAGAGATTTCTTCATGCTATTATGCCCTCTACGTTTATTCCTCTCTACACCATGGTAAGGTCTGGATTTAAGATGCTTGTTCATTTTAAAGTTCTGCTTAGCCATTAAAGAATACATAAGAATCCTTTTTACATTTCCCTGTAGGTCACCTTTTCCAGAGTAAGATACCACGAGGCAGTGCTGCACTGGCATTGGCAAAAAAAGGTTGGAACAAATTACGCTCTAAAAAAATCTAGTATGCTGTAGTGTGATACCGTTATGGTTATGTTTATTTCAGAAGAATACAGAAATGATAGGGCAGACATCAAATGTTCACCTTCCAAATAAAAACTGTCCTGAGCATGCAGAATAGAGCACCTACCAAACAACATATGAAAAATCAGTAGAGGGAGATCTTTTGAAGGGAAAAGTTTGCAAAAGAAATAAGGATAATATTACTCAGCCTTCTACTTCATTTTGGCAGTGTGGTCCACTCTTCATACAATATTGTGTCGTACAATATTCTTACTAATTTGTAAACTTGGGCAGACTGAAACTCTTGTAAGCGCTGCCAGTTTCCAATGCAATGTTATGATGTATTCATGTTGAGTTGCTGACCTAGATTCACCACTCAGGCACCATCATATTCCTGCTCAACTGCCTGGAAAATTTATTCATTCATTCACTGAAGAAATAGCTTTATTTAATGCATAAACCCTGAGCTGAGCATGGTGGTGAACGATACGCAATCTCTACTCTTCACCTAGTTCAGAGGTTGGGTCAGGGTCAGTGCACAGCGGCTGTGAGAGGGATACACTGGCCCTGGAGAGGACAGGAGTGGGCCAGACAGGTGAAAGTTGAAGAAACATGAGCAACATGTCAGGGCTGGAATCTGTGAACCTGGAAGGCTGCACACAGGTGTGAGAGTGGTCCGAGGGAAGCTGGAGAGCTCAGCAGGACCTTAAGCCTTTTGAATACTAGTTTAAGAGAAGCAGAGCAACTAAAGAAGGCTCACAGGCTGAGGTTGCATTTTAGAAAAATTACTTCAGAGTGGAGAATGGATTGGAAGGAATCAGGAGATATTTACCTATCGGAGGAGGAGTAGAACAGCGTTTCTGATCTCAAAGACATAAGAGAATAAAAGGAGAAAAGAGACGGCCACAGTTAGAATGCAGAACAATAAGTGCAGCGATAGCAATCAGAGGTTATGCAACTACTTCAGGTTAAAGAACTAAGAGGGGGCCGGGATACAGCTCCGGGGCACAGCACCTGCCTGGAAAGCGCAAGGTCCAGAGGTTGATTCCTGGTACCAAAAAAAAAAGAAGGGAAAATTGTGTGCTCCTTTGGGGTTATGAATGAAGTCTATGTCAAGATTTTAATCTCTGGACAAATGAGAGTTATTTCTGTCCTCACAGGTAATAAAAAGAGGACTCTTTGTCTTTGGATCTCTGACAGCCATTGGTACTACCTACCTGCTTGTGCACTACGTGTCGCCAGGACCCCTGGACTACTTGAGAAGACCATGGAACTGGGGCCCGTTACTTCCAGGGTATGGGGCACATTTCTCTGCAAACTCCATGGAGTCACTAGAGCAAACATCCTATTTCTTTAGCCAGTGATATAATGTCCTAAAGTAGCAAATTTTGATTTCCCTGTGACCAAAAGGAAGGACCAAACAAGTGTTTCCATTGCCAGATTTAATTCTCTCTTGGAAGATAGTTGGCAGCATGTAAATAAATTGAATGCAAAGTTTCTCTGCGTGCCCGCTGCACTTATTGGGAGCTGGGGGAAATCTCAACACTTGGTTTTTTTTTAAGTTTCAACACATAGCTTCCCCATCCCATTTTGCAACCTCAGGTTGGATCATTCTAAATTTTAAAAAGGAATGACTAAGATTTCTTTCACTTCTCAAAAACTAAGGCCCTAGAGGCCTCCTACAAGACACTACTCACACTTTTTCCTTAAAAGAAATAAAAAGACCTACAATGGGATTAATAGTATTTGGGGCTAAAAATCACAGCTTGCCTAACTACATTAACTATATTGTTCATCTCACGGATGGACCTTGTCTTACCATAGAGCTCAGAGTCACTGGATAAAACCAGAAGTGTATATGAGGTGTCGGGAATTCCAAAGAGCTACACAATGAATCTATTCTGTCTCCCACCCCTCAAATGCAAGTATGACTTTCTTCTTTGTTTTTTCCCAGTATGACTTTCTGAAGGTGTGAAAAAGTCCTTGATGCCAAACCAGGCTCAGGCTCAGAAAGGGTTTTATTCATAAATTAAGTATCTACATGCACAAGAGAGTGGAAAGGAAACAAGAGGAGATAGTTTTATAGAAATATGAAACCATATTTTGTTCCATTTCAGACCCTCAGAAGCAATTTACTAACTTACTCTTGAATTACACACTAGGACACAACCAGGAGTGACCTTGATTTTAAAAGTGTATTGAGTATATTTTCTTTGGTTTTTCCTGCTTCAGTAGGTCAACTGAGTCACTTGTAGAAGTCCCTCAAACATGAGTAATTATACAGTAACACTAAAAGGACATTTATCTAGGAAATTAAAAATTAGTCAATGAAATAAAATGACTCAGTGTTTCCAGTCAATGTTGCCAAGGATAACTTTGAATCCTAATGTTTGGTGTGTAAAGGAAGAAAAATAACATTTCCTTCCACCAATCCTTAGGTTCATTGACTGGGGCCCTTATAACAAAAGACAGAGACTAACAAGAGAAAAACAAACACAAATAGAAGTTTATTACATGTATATTTCACATGGAAGATACCCACAGACTGAGGGCAGCAGCGTGTAGGAAGGTACATAAATGGGAGTTTGCTATGCAGATTCCTCCCGTGCTGTCTCCAGACTGACGAGTGTCTGACATTATCTCTGAGAATTAACCTTGTTTTTTCTGGCAGAGAGAAGAAGGGAACACAACTGTAAATTTGGGACCTGTTTTTAGGGAAATAAGAGGAGGCAGACAGCTTTCCTTATATCACTTCTTCTCAACTGCTTTCAGCTCAAAATAAACATTATGGAAAATGGAGCATGTTTCGGGGTAGCATATTCTGGTTTCTTACAAGTTCAAGCAGTAAAAAAATGGCCTCTTCATCAACACTGGCTGATGGACTGACTGATAAACAATTAAGACAAATACACTTCATGGATACACTCAAATTCTCATTTCTATACCGCTTCAAAGTGAGCATGCTTACTTGGAACCCCCCTGAATCCAGAACTCCTGGCAAAATTGTGGGAAATTATTACAAGGGAAGGATAATGCTGCCATGCTCATGTTCAAAAGGACATAGATGGTGATAGTTGTCTGCCATCAACATCGTCTTTGTCATGCACGTTCTCATACTGCTGCATAATGAACCATATGCCATGGCTACCCTGACGTCATCGTATACTTTCTCTTTGCTGTGCTGTTCTTAGTGGTATATTCTGGAACTTGTTCAGCAGCTTATTAGTCTGAAGCTCTTCTTCATTTTATATAT